AGCTTCTGCCTCGGGGCTATTTGGGAAGACTGGACGGCCAGCAGGGGGGGGGGGGGGCAGCTTTCCTCCCCCGCCCAAGCGCTCCTGTTCCCTGAGGCCACTTCAGAAGCCACCTCCTGTCCCCCTCCCTGAGAAAGGCCCGAGTAGTCTGAATTCTCAACCACTCATCCTTTCTAAGTGAAGAGGCTCCAATTTTATAAAAGTCCCAGGAGGAGACTTCCAAAGGCAGGAATGTCCCTGGCAGCTAGGAACAGGGCGGAATTGTAAGTCGCATCGGAAGGAAAATAGTCGGGGACTAGACGGTCAGCTCTCGGCTAAAATACAGCAGGCCCTCGAATAACTTCGTTCACCCAAGGTCGCTGCTTCACTGGAACGCTGATGAGAAAGCCAATCAGTGCCCCTCGGGGGCTCCCATCTGCATGGTGCCTGTGCTCCCCCCATGCTCTGGGTGGTAAGCAGTTTTCCTCCCACACCCCAAAGGCTCGCTTGGTACACTGGGTTGTCTGATTGGAGTGGGTGTGGGTGCGCGTGTGCCCCGACACTGGGTTCAGCCTTGTGCCCCAGCTGCAGGGAGGGGCTCTGGCCACTGGGGACCCTGAACTGGAAGCAGCAGTGGCGGGTGCATAGAAGTAACTGCTGGATAGCAAACGGCTTCATTGAGAAGTTTGGTGATGATTTTGTGACCGTAAATAGGTCGGAGGAACTTAGCTCATTTATATCAATTGCTCTGTGGCCAAGTTGGTTTCATTATATGTCACCTTGGCTTAACGTTGCCACTTCCAAGAGCCCACCCACGACTTAAGTGAGGACTTACTGTAATGCCCACTGGCTTCCCTCCTCCCGGCTTAGCCTTCTTCCCATGTCCCTATCGCTGCCGCTGGCCCCCCCAGGGACTGGGAGGGTCTCACCTGTGGCGTGGGAGGTGGCAGGGGAGGTCACTGTGGTGGACTGGGCATCAACAGAAGAAGTGTCTAGCTCCTTGAGAGTGTTAGGTGAGAGAATTGAGACCGGCTGGGAGCATCGGACTCTCTGCAGGAAAGGAAAGAAGGAATGCCTTTCCCAGAGCTCGGACTGCTCCCTCTTCCAGCAGCTCACTCTGCAGTCTCCTCACGCCCGCCTCGCAGGCCTGTGCTAGATCTGAGGGAGGGCATCCCTGCCAGAGAACATTTCCGTTTGGTCACACCCCCGACTTCCCCCTTTCTGCACTGGACTTGAATGAAGTCCCTGACCTGTTATAAGAAATGGAAAGAGTTCTCTATTTGCCTCTTCCTGTCTCTCCTCCGGGCTTTCCTGGTTGTAACTGGATTGTTCTGACTGAATGCCCAAGGTGAGCCTGTATTCATACAGGATCTGGGTAAATGACTGGCAAAACTGGGGTGCAGCGAGGGATCCAGGATGGCCCTCGCTGGTGCTTCCCTGGTTCCTCACTGCCATAGCCGCTGTTGGCCCTGCAGACCCAACCTTCATCCTGGGCCTCACCTTGGCATAGTAGACGTGATTGGAGCAACGATACTGAGTAAACTGGCAGAAGGACTCAAACCAGGAGGCATAAGGAAGGTCAGAGCAGACAGCGCCTGAGAAAGGGCAAGGGTGGACACTGGGGCTCAGGACGAGGAGGCCACTCTATGCTCACCCAGTCTCAGATGGACACCCGGCTGCCCAGCAGCAGGCCCTCACCATCGGGCACCAGGCCATGGTTTTCGTATTGGTCCAGCTGGACGAGGGTGGGGTTGCGGCAGCCGTGCGTCGCACGGAGACGGCAGGTCGTCTCTGCCTTCCAGGTTGGGGTCAGCAGCGCGAAGAAGTGTTCATATTCGTTGGGAGAGAGAGGGCTGCCTGGAGTGGAGGTCAAAATTGAATCCTGGGCTGGGGCGGATGCCGGAAGCCGGAACAGAACTGCGGGCCGGGGGAACACAGCGATGGATGGACCCAATTCCAAAACCCTCTGGGGCCCCGGTCAGACCCAGCAAGTGGGGCTCCACGTCAACTAGCAGGATGGGCACCTGACTGGGGGTCCCTGCTGGTCAGGGTGAGGGGCTCCGGGGGCGGAGGCAAAGGCCGGACCCCTGGAGGTTGGGGGGCTGCGATGGGGGGCGCTCAGAAGCTGGGGAGCACACCCAATGAACGCAACCAGCAGAAGACAGCGGGTCGGAACGCGTGAGGGAGACGCTCCGCGGGGGCAGGGGGCCTGGGCGGGGACAGGACTCCGGCACCTCTCACCCATCAGCAGAGAGAGCGGGACGCCAGCAGCTAGCTTTCTCATGGCCCCAGCCGGTCTGCCCGCGTCCTCCGGACCGAAGCTGCTTCCAACGGGCCAAGCCCGAGAGCAGGCCGGCGGGCGCGAGTACTAGGGTGCCGCCGACGTCACAAAGGGCCGGGGGCGGGCCGCGGGGGCCCGAAGGGCGGGGCCTCGGAAACTGCCTCGCCGGGACCCCAGGGCCCTCGCGAGTCATATTCCAGCTCCAGGTGATGGCAAAAGCTACCCGGACTCTGCATCTACACTGGCACAGCTGCCGTGTGGATCTTTTATGTGTCACTGGCGCGCTGCCAACGTCATCCCATAAGGTGAGGACCATTTTTACCGCTATTTCACAGAAGGCCAGGTGGGGCGGGGAGAAACATTTGCTCAAAAGTTGGTGAGGCCTAGATGCGCCTTCAGGCGGGTCTGGGGCAGGCAGGTGCCCAGCACACAAAACAAAGTGGCCGCCTCTCTGGGTGGGCAGGAGAGAGGAACCCTCCAGGTGAGACATGAGCCAAGGCCGGAAAAGCTGGCTGGGGGCAGGCCAGGGGGATGTGGTGTGAGCAGGGCTAAGGTGGGCTCAGTGTAAGGACATGGCTTCCAAGTGGGAGGCGGGCAGAAAACCCAGACTCGGGGGGAAAATACTCGCTTTTGTTTAAAAGAAAGAACCAAGCTGATATTTAGTATAGTAGGACATGTATAAAACACAAATACATATTTATTGGAAATGAAGTGGAAGATGAAGAAAAGATGCCGTATTTGTAAGGTTCTGGAAGCCCAGGGGAGGCAGCCCCCAGCAGCTTAGATCTCCTGGAGTTGAGACGCTGTGCATCTGGCACCGAGATGCCACTCCTGCTTCCACGCTTATCCTGCTTAGGAGTGTCACCTCCTGCTCTTGCCTAGCCCGGACGCTGCAGAGGATGCTTAGCTCGTGTACTAAAACCGTGTCTCTACAACAAACACAGGCAGCCAACACATACACTTTATTCACCTACCCCAATGCTTTTACACGCGAGTTATCGGCCTTCCGCCTCATCCCCACTCCCATTGCACAAGGCCAGGTGAACCCTTTTGGCACAGAGGAGGGGGTGCCCCTCAGGTCAAAGCCCAGGTGATATGGGGGAGCCCCCACCATGGAAAAAGCAAGAAGAGAATGAGAAGTTTATCATACCACGGTCCCCCACGGGGGGCTGGGGGCGGGGACGGGTTAGGAGGGCTGAGGGCGTGCTCCCACACACTGCCCATCCTTAAATACAAAGCAAGGGGAGGAAGGAGGATCATCGCTCGGAAATACAGCACCAACCTCAGCATGGAGGCAAAAGGACAGTGGGCAAGAGCCCTTCCCTCTGAAGGTGGGCTGAAGAGAGCACATACCGTTAGTGGCTGCAGCACCCCCCACCAGGGTTTGGATGCAGCCTCAGCACCAGGAGTGGGGGCAGGGGAGAGGGAAGGCCACGCTGCGCCTTCCACTTCTCTCTGAACCCCCATGGCCTCAGCACAGGCTTTCCTCTCCCCACTAGCCCAGGTCAGGGGATATGGAAGGAACTGTGTTGGAATCCAAGGCCTTTATCTATTTCTTCTTTCGTTCTTGGGAGCAGCGTGGGCAAAACCTAAACAGGAACATGGAGGAGATGGGAAGGGAGTGAGTGAGTGAAGGGGAGACGCTGTCTACCTCTCAGCTTCAGGGCTGTCCCCACCCTAGCGCAACCCGCTCGCTCACCATTTCCCCCGGGGTTTGGTTGTCAGCCCCACACAGGCGAAATGGAACCACTCAATGGAACACTGGTGAAGGAAGCAGAAGTCAGGCGCAGAGGAAAAGCGCACACGTCCCGAAAGGACCCTGAGGAGCATTCCCTTATTCTGTCCTTCTGGAGAATTCTTGGGGTCCCAAGGCCAGCCAACTCATATCATGAAGTTCCACTCACCAACTACTTCTTCCCCACTTGTAACCACATCCCCAGAACCCCCGCCCCCGCACCCTAAGGCAAAATGGTTCTCACATCCGGGTTATCACAGCCAATCATCTCTCCATAGGAGACCTGGTGACAAAGGCAATAAGTGGGTTCGTTGGGGTCCACAGGCATATCCAACACATCAGAGGGGTGGACACTGCCAAAGGTCACTGAGGGCATCCCGTACTCAGGACTTCTGCATGCCGAGAGGAAGAGAAAGTGTCATGTGTGGGAAGGGAAGCTGCCGCGTGACTCTGAGGCGACAGGTGGTCCTGAGTGACGGTGGGGCAGGTCACCTGCGGCTTCTCCCCTCTACCCAGCAGATACCAAACTGGCAGACTGCAGTGTGGCCAGGAAGAAGGCGGGTGGGGGCGGGGCGGGGAGGGGGAGCACAGCATGTCCCTGGGGGGGGGTCTCCCAGTTGCACTCACGAGCGCACAAGCTTTAATTTCTTCTGGGCGGCCTTGGGGGCTTCTTCATCTGAGTTTTTCCCTTTGGAACGAGCACGGGCAGCTTTCTTCTCCTTCTGAGTCCGACCTTCTAGGGAAAAGGGGGGGGAGCCAAAAGGCAGGGACACCGAAAGATGAGTTACGTCCTCCTCTTCCCCACTTTCCAACCCAGTTCTCCGCCCTCATAACTGAAGTGCTGGCGGCTTCTCCCTCTGACTCCTTGCCCCAGCCCCGCCCCCCTCCTCACTCTTTTTGCCTTTGCTGGAAGAGCTGTCATAGTCACTTGATTCAATCTGTTTCTCCTTCAAATCAGCCTCAAAACGGGCCAGGTCTGTGTCCAGTCGCCGAATGTGTTTGTCCACCTGGATGGGAAGGGAAGAGAAAGGAGAGGTACAAGGCCGGTCCTGGTAGAAGTAGGTAGGTTAAGGCAGTCTACGGATCTCCCAGACCCAAAACAGACCCCGACACAGCTGAAGGAGGGGTCCAGGACCCCAAGGGTTAGATGGGAGGTAGGTGGGGAGCCATGAACAGGGCCATACCATCTCATAGGTCTGCATGGCAAGCTGCACCTTGTCGTCACCAAATTCCTTGCACTTGCCATAGGCTTCCTGGATCTGTTTGAGAAGGGCCAATTTCTCCTCGGAGCTCAGGCTGCGGGCGCTACTCATATACTCAGTGGCCAACTTGTCAATTTCAGCCTTCAGGTCTACAACAGAGACAGAGGCCTGGTCACAATGGCCCCTGGGTGTCTAGGTGAAACACATTTCTTCCTCTTGTTCCTCGGACCTTTTTCCATGACCATCATAACCGTCAAACTAAAAATGTACCGAACGTTCACAGGTACTGTGCCATGTAATCAAGTAACGCAACACACTGACAATATATGCTTTAAAGGCGCCTTCAGATGCAGAAACCATTGCTATCACAGTTGAATTTAAATTACTGAAACATAATGGAGAGTCCTTGTACACTGCGCTAAGATGAAGTATACTTTCTATTGATGACTTTTGTTTCTTTGCAGAGCTTGCCATTTCTTGAATCACAGATTTTGTCGCGAAAGTCACTTGGCTTCTCAAAAACAGCCCCTAGTTGCTCTGAGCACTACAACGCAGCCTGGGCTATCCGCTGCTGGCCTCCAAGTCTGTGCATGCACCTCCTCATTGACAATTAGGCCCCAGTGCATTCACGTTAATAGTTCTTCTACTAACTGTCCACCCTATTTTGCTCAACAGTTGCAACTTGCTTCTATTTCTCATCACTTTGTCTTCTGCTTGTTCATCTTAGCTACTGCTTCCAACTCTTTAATACTGGAAGTCGTCTGGTGATGTTCCAAGGCACTGAGATGTATGTGGCCTCACGTTCGGCAGGGCTCATAAAAGCGTCGACGGCAAGAGACACAAGGACCACTGTTGCAGAGTGCCGCGCCAGGTGATTGGAACTGCGCGCACGCTGTGTTCGTGGCGCATCATTTGAGGCCCTTGAGGAAGCTGAAAAAGCGTACAGTTCAATAATCACCAACTGTTCTTTCTGTGCATCAACTTAAGAGCTGGAAATGTAGCCCAAGGGAAGCATTCGTCGGCGGTTCTCAAGGCCTATGTCCAGGGCCGGAGATGATCACCTTTTTATGAATCGACTTACCCAGAGGAGTTTAAACCACAGCCTTAGGTATTCTAACACCAGCTTGCTATCTCCTCAAGCACGGCTACCTAAGGATGGAAGAAAAGATCTATATATCCTTCAGCAGATATGAGGGTAGTTCCCATAGACATCTTTGACCTTGAGGAGACCAACCTCACCACTGTAGTGGCCTCAGGTGCCACGTGAATGCCTCACAGCACCCAACATGCCCAACTAAGGCCACAGATGGTATCTATTGCTTCTGTAAAGTTGAAGAATACAGTGTAGAGATCCTGATGTTAACTGCTGCTTTTCCTTCTTTGTAAAAACCCCTCACATAGCCGAGCTACTGTCTACCAACTTGAGTTGCAGTCTAAAGTCACAGAGAATTTTGTGAGGGTAACCAAGAGTTACAGTGGAAAAGAGACATCCTAGTCTTCCTATAAATACGTTGAATATGGAGAACAGAAATGATTTAAAAGTTGACTTTCGCTGTTTGAATTCTTCTTGAGGAAGTTACAAGGAACAAGGCGTCTGAGTTCCTGAGACATGCTCACAACGCTTCAAATGATATGGAAAGGCTGAGACAGAAATTCGGATCATCTTTACTCTCCTTTTAAGAATTGCGAGAGAGCGAGAAGCCACAGTTCTCCAGAGCAGATAAGCTGATATGGTTAACACCATATCACACACTTCACACACTTTCACGCTACTTGCTACATACCCTCTGTTCTTTGGTCCAGGTCCCTCATGAGCTGGAAGTTTCTCTGTAGTTCAAAGGGGAGGTTTTCAATACCTAGGGAGAAGCGGAGACACTGAGAATCACTGCACCTCATAGGCCTACTAGCTAATTTGAAAGTCTGGGTCCTCTTCCAACCTGTTATCTTTATCTGTGTCAGTATTCAAAAGTCCTTTCTCAGAAGAGGGTGTCTGCCTCTCTCCATAACCAGCTCTCCATCTTTGCATGGCTACCCCACCTTTTCCCTTCCCATTCAATCTCTGCCTCCATAGTCTTTGTCCTCAACTTGCAAATACATGCCAGGTATCTCTACTGCTTATTACACAGATGCTTCCAACTGGTCTTCCTACAGAAGCCAGAAGGTGCTTGAAAAAATGCAGGTCTGAGCAAGTCACTTCTGCTTGTAAGCCTTTAGTAACTTATTGCACGATTCCTAGTCCAATCTTGCATTTTCTAGCCCTTGCCTCCTAACCAGTCCCTTCTGTGCTCTCTGCTCTGATCACACTGGCCGCCTCTGAGTGCCTCAAACCCGCCACTGTTTTCCTGCTCCTTGGTTTTCCACATGCTGCTCTGTCTGGAATGCACTACCCACTCTTCCTCATCTCACCTCCACTATACCTCCTGGCTGATAAATTCTTGTTTATTATTCCAAATTCAGTTTAAGCCTCACTTACCCAGACTACTGTGAGTGCCCTGAATCATGTCACATTATTCTATTCTTACCCTTTTTGAGTCTTACCCACTGTCATTATATAAATATGGATTAATCACAGAGGGCTGCTTATGTTTAGAACTATGGCTTACATACAAAGGGTTCTCCCATAAAAATCCTTCCCCATGACTCCAAACTTTTTGCATGCCTTCTCTACTAACCTATAAACCACCAGTTTACTGAGATTAAGTCACCACTGACTTACCTAGTGGAATGATCTGTTATTAGTTCTATCCTAAAAGATATGTCTGCAGCAGGTGGCACCATCTTCTCTCTTTCCAGTAACTTTCTTCCTTTTAGGATTCCAAATCTCCTCATATACTTTCTGGTAACTCCAACATTGAGGTTTTCCTAGCCTGTCCCTTAAATATTAATGTTTCTTTGAGATTGATTACACTTTAATCCTCTCATTTTCTTAAATGACCTTATTCACTCATGGATGCAAGGACCATACTTACATTTAAGTCTGAATTGAATTAAGGCTGCTACCTAACATTCCCGTTTTATTGATGGTAGATTGTCAACCTCATTTGCCAAGCAGAAAGTCAAAAATCACCTTAGATTCATCTTTCAATTGCTAGGTCATTCAGATATCATTTGATTCCTAAACATGGTCTCTCCCTTACCTCTCCTCTGCACTACTATCACAAATCTCCCTACTATCCCTGTTCTCATGCTCCAGTTTACTATACAACTATTATTTTCCTATTAAAAAAAAAAACCAACACTATAATCTGTTGGTTCCTCACTAAAGTGAAAACTTATCTTGACTTAAAAAAAAAGTGAAAACCTTTAATCTTGCACTTTTATCCTGTCTAGATTGAAGTCCCATTTATCAAACACTGACCTCACTTTTCCTTAATCTTGACATAGTGATACCTTTGCGGATACGCTGCCCACAATGGCAACTTCCTTTTCTCTCCACACTAACAACTAAAACACAACCTCCAAGACCCATCACATCCTCTATAGAAGTTTACCTACATCCCCTCTTTCTTCGGTGTTAACAACTGTCCTTTTAATATATTTCCATTATTTCATTTGTCATACTGTTTTAACATGATTAGCAGAATCTGTATCCTTCTAGCCTATGAGCACTGGAGGGCAGGGGCTGTGTCTCAGTAACTGTTGTATATTCTCAGTTCCTGCCCTTATGTCTGACCCACAGCAGGACCTCAACTTTTAAAAGTGAACGAACGAAAGACCGGCAACACAGACAAATGTAAAGGCAAGGGGTAAGGGGTTTTGTGAGGGGGTGAGTTAACAAACGGCACGAGCAAAACACCAGATTTCCACTTGATGGGAAACTGGATCTTTACTCCGAGAAGTGTTCCAGTTCCGCAGAAACCACTCACAAGCCCCCTCTGCCCACGAGATGCGGCTTCTGAGAAAGAACTGAGCAACCGCGAGTAGGTCTTTGTCACCGCTCCAAATAGCAGTGGGCGATATACTAAAACGACCGATTCTGACGATCTGGGGAGGGGATGGGGGCTGGAGACCTTGAAGATGGGAGCGGCAAGTATCTTCCCGGCTATGCCCATTAGCCCTGCAACAGACATCCCGCGGGCCCACCACTCAGCCCCTCCTTCGTCTACACCCCAAAGCGAGGCCCCGACCCTGCTGCCCCGCCCCCTCCTCCTTTTCACCCGCCAGTATTTTTTTTTTTTTCATGGAACCACCTTACAATTGTGGCCTTCTAATCACCGGGACTTCGGGGCCATAGATATTCTCAGCCCCGGTCCCCCCGCCACCACACTGTGACCCCTGACCCCCACCTCCAGCCTGCTCTTACTGTCCAGATAATGTTCCAAATACATCCCCGCGGCCATCTTGAAGCAAAACAAAGCAACTTCCGATCCGCCCCGGAAGTGACTGAAAGCTACAGGGGCTGAAGCTATAATTCTAGGGTTAGAGCCTTTCCGCCCTTACAAAGAGAACTTCCGCCCTTACTTATTATTCGGAGGGACACATCCGCCCGACGTCGAAACTTTTTCCTTTAGCGAAGGTAGCCAGAAGCGGCCGTAAGGAGGCACCTTTAGCCACTTCCGCCCTTACTGAAACCCCAGTACGCGACTGAGGTAGGCATGACGTCACTCAAGGTCGCCATTTTGCATCTTTACCAAACTTTTTTTTTCCCTCCAAAACGGATCTGTTAAATAATGAAACAAACTTTCCTTTTTAGGACTCTTATTTTTATAAATATTTCTTTCCCCTTTTGCAGAATATGAATCTGGGGACCAAAGCAAGTCCGACAGAATCAAGACTTTTCTCCAGGGCAGTGTCTTAAAGAAGTTGGGGAGCAGCTGGTCTTGATTTTAAAACTTCACATTTCTGTCCACTCACCCAAGCACTATCTCTCAGGATTATATTTTAACGTGGAAAATGTTCGTTGTTTATATTCGAATTGTACTTATAAAGAATCACAAAGTCATAATTCTCACTTTTCACAGCTCCTCCTACATTTGAATATATTCTTACATGACATATAGTACTTCTGGTCTTACTTTGTTTTTGCCTTCCTTCTGAGTGTACATGTGGTGGTAATTTGTACAATCCCGAAAGGTTTGGGACTTGGACCTCTGTCTCCAAGTTGTGACTGGGCCAGTTAGATGCCCCTCATCACCCTAGTCACCTGAGGTGCAATGAATGCTACGCTTTTTTCATCAGAATGTAAAGCAAGCAAGCGTATTACAGAGTGCTATCACACTAGGGAAGCAGAACTCAAAACCCATAACCTAATAGTAGTTTAAGTAAAACAGTGTCTGAGTTAGCATCCATAACTCACATGTTCTAGACAATTATGTGTCAATGGCAGTTTTTAATTACAAATTTTAGCCACATAATTTAGACCAAAGAGGTGAAGATTAAAGTGAAACCCCATTTACTACTGAACAGGTGGTGGAATACAGCAAAGAATCTAGATGACTTCACCCTATAATGATGAGTAATTTATAGTGCCTATTTCTGCCATTATGAGTAACAGTATTTTAGGGTTGTTCACTAACTTTTCCCTTATATTATTTCTAGTTATCTGTGAAGTTAGGATTGTGAGGACCTTTCAACTTTTGGAGGGGAGGGCAAAAGAGCAGAGAATATTCAAGAAGCTAACAAATAATCTGATCCTGTGGTACATTCAATGGTGTCACAACAGATTGAGACACTTATTTTGGATGGGCACGCAAGGCCCAGCCCTAAAGCAAGCATACTTGACTATTCACACTCCCCTGGGTAATGAAGTTACCCAGAAATCCCAAAGAAGACAGCCCTGTTATGTGATGTGGGAGCTTTCTCACCCTTTTTCAGTAAAAGTTTACTTAATAAAGAAAAAGTAATCTTGGAGGTGATCTGGTCAAATTCCTTCATTTAACAGCTAAAGCAACATCTTGGTCAACTAGTTAATGGTAATCAGGGCAGAAGATCATGTTTCCTGTCCATGTTCTACAATTCAACACTTACTATCCTGTTTTGTTATTCAATCCTGGTTATGGTTTCCCATTACTGGAAATTTCTGGTTTTCAGGTGTGCAAGATAATGAACATCTGTGGTCTGCACACTGAGATCAGGAATTAGCGCTGAGGCCTCTGCTTGGGCAGAGCAGTTCCTTTCAAGAGGCTGTACCCCATCGCACTGCCAGGAGTCTAGCTGTTCTGTTAACATGACTGACATTCTGCTCTCACCTAGACAATGCAGTCCCCAGGACAGGATTTGTATGCAGAAGCTCTCATTAACCAAGATTTCATTTTAGAACTATCAAAGCTGTACCTTTCTAGATTGCTACACACATGGAGCCTTATTACCACACAACATTCATTCTATACACACACGCAAAGTCCCGAACTTCCCTCCAAACAGCTTTTCCCATGCTCGCTCACATCAGTAGCTCCATTGCCTCTGATCCTTTTACACGAATTTATTTCTATACAAGGTTCTAAAAACACCCCTTGGTTTGTACATACGTTTTTTTTCTTCATTTTAAATTGATTTATAACAACCGGTTTCCTGATTTTTTTTTTTCATTTTCTCTTTTTTCTGGTCTGCCATGATTAAAAAAAAAAAAAAAAAGACAAAAGAACTAAAAAAGCCATTGGCCAGAAGACAGGGTGGAGAAAAAAAAAAAATAAGGACAAAAATAAACAAAACGTCAAATATGAAAATTCTCAGAGATAATGCATTTATAAACACAGAAATGGTTACAACAAAGATGGCCGTGATGAGTGGGTATATATATATTTATATATATATATATTTATATATAAATCCATGTCCGGCAACTGGCCGTGGCACCTAGGGAGCTAGTTCAGTCTTTGCGTTTGCCCTGGACTCTCCCTTCTCTGCAATACCCCTTGATTTGGGGTTTCATAGAGAACACAAAGCTCCCACAGCTCCTTAGGTTTTAGGATGGGGAGACTGAGAAGATAGGGCCTTGGTTGGCAGAGAAGGGGAGAGGCTCCAGGAAAACCATAACCCACACTTCTAAGCCACCCTTGACCATCTTGGGGTTCTCCGGCCCCTTGGGGACCACATCTCAGCCCTTGCCCCCTTACAAATAAAGGGGGACTGACACCCACCCAGATCTCCTCCTTCCAGCATTAGGTAGGAAATGAAGTGAGACCACGGAGGGGAAGAACATGGCCCCCAGGGCCTGGGGCACGTGAGATACCTCTCTGTTCTTTCACAGGCAAGAACACAACAGAAGGCTGGTTGCATATGGGCTCCCTTCGCTGTGATATCTGGGAGGGCCAGCCTCTAATCTATCAGCCTGAACTCTGAGGATTATGAGGGTAGGAGAGGGTAAGTGCCCACACTGGAAAAAATTCTATGAGGTCACAGCAACTCCCTCCCTTGAGCACCAACCCCCTATTTTTAAAAGCTCTGCTTGGGAGGGAAGCTGCTGGATTACACTACCAGCTCAGTAACCTTTGCCAATCAGGAGGGCTGATGTTCCTTTTGAAGAGGAGTTGAGAGTAAAGATGGATGGTGTCCTGTGAAGGAAGGCTGTGCCTGAGGCCCAAGGAGATGGAGCCAAGGCCTGTCAAGGAAGAAGAGGACTTTTCCCACCAAGTGAAGCTGGAGAGAGAAGGGGCCAGAACTTCTTTCCCCTCTTGCCAGTGGGTCGCAGCATAGGTCTCTATGAGCTGGCCAGATGCTCCACCTGGATGGTGCTGGTGGTGACAGTGAGGCAGATGTCCTTATGATGCTCCGCCGTCTTGTAGGGGGTCAGGTCAAAGGAACACTGGGGTGGAGGGTTGGGGTTGCTGTCCCCACCACCACCACCCTGGGGGGCTGCCCCAGGGGACTGGAAGTGCGGTGGCTGTGGCGGCGGCTGCTGCTGCTGTTGCTGTGATGCCTGAGAGGCCTGGGCCTGGGCCTGGGCCTGGGCCTGGGCTTGAGCTTGAGCCTGGGCCACTGCCGCTGCTGCTGCCGCTGCCTGCACTTGTTGCTGGAGATCAGGAGGGTTGTGTTTGCGCATATGTTTCATAAGATATGTTTCCTGAAGGAGAAGATAAAAAATGGAGTTGAGGGAAGAAAGAGAAGCAAAGAAGCGAGTTACTTACAACTAGCATCCTGGACTCTTACATTGCTTTAAACAAAGCAATATTGAGAGAGATACTGTGGGTCCAGTGGTCAATTCTGAAAACACTACCAGTGCTGCTACTGGGCAGGAGTGGGGCTCTGGTAAGCGCCCGATCACCTTGAGTTGTCACTTTCTCAGACACCTTTGAAGTGAACATTATACCCTTTTCTAGAGTCTAGTGTCTAGCTAAAATTACCAAACCCCCCCCAACCTAAGCCCCTTTGCAAAATTTCAAACTGCTTCCATCTTGTCTTATGTTTAAATAAAATGAAGCCTCACTATTTAGTAGTCCTGTTGGCTTAAGGGATCAGATTCCCCCAAGTTCCTTAGCTACCAGCATATCTAATGTCTCTTCTCTTTACTGATTCTGTCAAGTTAGAGATAGAAAGGTGGTGTATTCCCTACACAGACCTATATATTCAGAACGTTGGGGAGAAGTGGGTTAGAATTTACAGCTGGACACACAGAAGGAACGGGCAGGCTCACACTCACCGACGTGTATGCCCGGCTACAGATGGTGCAGGTGTACACCTTGGCATGCTTCACCGTATGCGTAGACAAGTGTACCTCCAGCGAGGCTGCGTCTGTGTACGCCCGATGACAGTTGTGGCACTTAAAGGGTTTATCTTTGTTGTGCTGCCGTCTGTGGGACTGAGAATATTGGGAGGAATCAGTCGTGCACTGAACTTTTTCTCTCCTACCTCTTTGACCTTAGTGGAAACCCCTGAACTGGGTGCCAGGCCCCCCAGGAACCTCTTTCTGTCTAAAAGTGGCAGCAACTGCTTCAAATGAAACTTTAGGAGCTCCTGGGTAAGGGAAGAAGCAAACTCTGTGTAGCACATCTCAGGATCCTGAAAGTGGGGTGACGCTACACGCCTGGTCCCGCGGTACTCAAAGTGAGGCATGGGGATTCGCCACGAACACCAAGGACTGTTCAGGGGCCCCACAAGGTCAGAAGTATTTTCAGAGTCATAATCAGACAGTTTGCCTTTTCATTCTCATTCTCTTGTGTATACAGACTACGAGATGTGTGCTATCACAGGAGACTGAAGGCGGAAGACATGATGACACAGCCATCTTCTGGAAAGCCAGAGGAGGAGGAAACGCGCATTAATGTAAGAACAATGCTTCTTGGTATGGGGCCAAATAGATGACTGATGTCAGCATGCAAGGGGTCTGCCAGTTTCGTTGACTGTTACCATCACCACATAAGCTTTTGGTTTTTTCCCCAATATGATCCCCATCAACACAAGCCCTGTGGGTTCCCCAATAGTTGTTAAGAGCATCAAGAGGTCCTGAAAAAGTTTGACAATGACAGTATACCGACAGAGTCAGCACTGCGACCCCAAGTCTCACTGTACCTGCAGATTGGAGAGCTGTGTGAAGGCTTTCTCGCAGCCAGGGTGTGCGCACTTGTACGGTCTATCTCCGGTGTGGATTCTGCATGGGATGAGAAAAGAAGGAAGGAGGACGTCAGCCAGGCCACTCAGGGACTGGCTCTTCAGCAAACCTCAAGGCCACGCCTGCTCTCCTATGGTGGTCTCCAGGAGGCACAGCCTGGGCTCTGACCGGCTCAGGCTGTGATGCCTGCCTCCTGCTCACTGCCTGCCACGCGGGGCTCCTCTCTGCCGGGGGAAGAGGGACTGCGGTCCAGCAGTGAAGGGACAGGCAGTCCACAGTTTAGCACACAAGTCAGCTCCTAGAGTAACTGTCCCTAATGAATGTTCGGAAACAAGGAAAACACAAAGGTAAGGAAAAAAAACCACAAACACTTCTCTTCCTTGGCCCCCACCTTACAGTGAGAAACTATCTCCTCAGCTTTGAGTACCACTCCCAGAGAAAGGTTCTGGTGTCAAAGCAAAGCAGAGTTACGCTCCATTATGGAGCAGCAGAGCTACCAACACTTGTGAAACTTCCTCGGGGGCTTTTCCCAGTCCAGCCTAGGAAATGCCTAATTTAGCACCAACTTGACCTCTTCTCCAAACACTACAACGGGGCCCTGTGCTGAAACGAGTCAAGGCCTTGAGGACATGGACACCCGCTCCTCCTGAGGGACTTGAGACCATCTTTGTGACCGGGTGCTTTACTTGACCTCTGGTGCAAAGCCTCACAAACATCGCATGACACATCACATCTCCTCCTGTGAGCAAAGCCCGACTCTCAGGGATGGCCACATCCTGAAGCAGCCAGGTGACGCGAACTCTGGCTAGGAAGAGTGCAGACTCCAGTTGAACCTGAGAGGCCCCTGACGGCGATCATCAACTCTTCCTGCCGGCAGCTTCTCTTCCTCTTGGCCACTCCAGATTACAGGCCGGCAGTGGGCATCCCTCTTTCCGGTGTGCCAGTTCTTTGCGTTTCAGACGTGCTTTGTTTCGTTGCTACTCCACGCGTCCCGTGAAGGCCTGCTTTCTAGGTAGGTGTCCCAGGCTGGTGCCCAGCCAGTCTCTGAGCATGTCCGCTGTCCGCAATCAGTGCCCCCGGGGCTGGAGGTGGGGTCTGCTCCAATCATCTTCTCCAGTCCAATGCCCCTGCTTCAGCATCAGGAGAAAACCTTGCAAGATGTGTGCACGGGCGTTTTCAGGGAAAGAAACGAGGGAGAAAAGTCGACTCTGCTCCAGTTGTGTCTCTTTTCCCGCAGACCAGGGAATGTCACACAGTCACTGCGTCTCCCAGTGCAGCTTTAGCCCCAGCCAGACTCTCTGAGCATCCGCTTGTGTTTCCAGTGCTGTCGCTTGTTCCTTCTCCCAGATGCCAGGCGTGCTCTCCTCCAGTCTGGCCTCTCCCCCGCCCCCCGCATGCGGGTTGTTGTGTGTGTCCGGGGCGGGGGTGGGGAGGGCATGCCAGCGGGGCGGAGGCAGTAGCCTGCCACTCTCCCTTACCGTGTGTGCTGCTGGAGGTGGGAGAGCTGGCGGAAGGCCTTCTGGCAGTAGGAACAGTTGTAGGGCTTGGCCCCCGAGTGGATACGGAGGTGCTGGGCCAGGTAGGAGGTGTTGGCGAAGGTCTTGGAGCAGTGCGGGCACTTGTGGGGCTTGATGGTCTCGGTGTGCATCTTGGAGTGGATCCTGCCGGAGAGGAGAGGAGGGAAGGGGGGGAGGAGGAAGCAGTTCGACACCAGGGGCTCAGCTCTCTGCTGGGTGAAATGATGTTGCTTGACGGATGAGAGCACCCCCTCCTCCCTCCTCCCAAACACATTCCGGCCTGGAGAGGCTAATGAAGAGGACACCCAGATCTAGGTTGTTGCTGATCTTAAGTCGGCGGCTAGAATGGCAGTGAGATGATGAAGAGCTGCAACCCATGGCTCCTGGTAACCTCAAGTGTCCAGTCTTGTCAGCCCTCTGCTTTGCTCTAAGGTTACACACACACTCACCACAGATACCCTGCTTCCAATTAGTAATTTGAACAAAGACAATACCGCCTGTCCCCATGGACCTGAAGTTGAATGCACACCTTGGCTCTGAACTGAAGCAAAGAGTAAAAGCAGGGCTGCTCTGCAGAAGGTTTCCAAAGAGAGAAGCCACAGAAACTGTTCCAGACTTTGGAACTGGAGACCACCATTTTCCAGGCTCCCCAAGCTGCTAGGAGATATGTTTTTTTTTTCCCCATAGACGGTAATGGGAAAAGAATTGAGGCTCCGAAAAGGCAAAGTCGAAAGGGGGAAAAAAAACATGGAGAGAAGAGGAGGCACAGACCATGAGGCCTGAGGGTGAGGGGTTCACGGCCCGGAAGTGGGGTGAAACTGAGAGCAGCCTTACCGGGTGTGCTGCTGGAGGTGAGAGAGCTGGCGGAAGGATTTCTCACAGAAGTTACAACTGTAGGGCTTGGCCCCTGAGTGGATACGGATGTGCTGGGCCAGGTAGGAGCTGTTGGCGAAGGTCTTGGAGCAGTGTGGGCACTTGTGGGGCTTGGTCTCGGTGTGTGACTTGGAGTGGATCTGCATCTCCGACTTTGAGTAGAATGTCAGGGAGCACATCCGGCACCTGGGCCAAGTGAGGGCAGCGGTTAGAGGCTTCCATTAACAGGCATCACTGAACACCTCCCTCCACTTCACAGACGCCAACCTAGCTGACTCTCTAGCCTGACAGCACTGAGACCCCAAAAGGAGGCACTCTGTTTTAGTCACATCTTTATGGCCTAAGCCTCAAGCACAGCATATTGGGAATATTCAATAAATACTAGCTGAATGACTGGACTCTCTTCATGTGTACAAAACAAGAATTCAACCAGGTCAGACTGAAAAGTCTCAAGGGCTCTCATCTGGTAAAAATGTCATGGAACCAAGAATATCAGTTCTAACTTCTTCAAACTTTTAAATAACCCTTTCCCCCAATTTCCATGTATACAGCAGCCCCCTCAGGTTCTCCTCAAGTCCCAAGATGATAATGAGGACAAACTATCTAGAGTCCCCAGAAAGCCTTCTCTTTTGTCTTCTCACATACTTGTCTTCTCCAAGATTCCCCGCTACTTCCTTTCTGCCAGTGGCCCTGAGGGATGAGGGTGGTGGAAGTAGCTGGATTACTTGGAGGGGCTTTCCCACAGTAATATTTCAATCACCCCCGCCTTCCCCCTGCTGGTGATCAAGTGAGCATCCCTTTCCACAATGAGCTAACACAGGAACTAACCATCACAACGAACCATCACAAACAACATCCCTCCAAGTTAGGATTTGCAAAAATGCTTAAGTTCCACACTAAGCCTTTCCTCTTTCCTAGGAGATGGAGCCAGTTTGTGTGGACAGCAATAGCTTCTGAATATAGTTCAACTCATCATGAGTTGATAATCTTTCTTCCTGCTACTACACTGCCTCAAATAAGGAGGTCTCTGAGCAAGATAAGCAACTGCTACTGGGTAAAAGCTATCAACATGTGAGTTAGAACCCTATCATTTTCTAGCACATAATTTGGGCTGGTAGGTAGGGCTATGGTCTATCTAGAAGCCAGGGAATTGGGGCAAGTCCCTCTATTTTGGGGACTTCCCCAATTTATCACTAAAAGAAAAGCTTTAAATGTTGTGATGATTTCTGCTATTCTCTGATCCGGCAGGATTTAGAGAATAACTGAGACCAAGACTAAAAACAACTCTAAGCTCATCAGAGAAAAAGAGATGACAGTTTACTGAAGATCCTTATATCTCAATATAAAAATTTCAATCATTTAGGCCAAATTCTATCTCTCTAATCACCTGAACCCCTCCCCCACCCCCGCCTCCACACATACAAAAACCTAATGACCAGTTTACCCATCACTGGCTGTTGTCTGGAATGTCCCATCATTGTACAGAAGGTGGGAAGTATCTATTTATAGTTAGCATGACTCAAAGGACAGTTAATGAAGTCTGGATACCTGGGCTTTATTCAGAGTTCAGTTATAGGCTGGATCATCAATCTAGACCTCAATTTTTTGGAGTGTAAAACAGAGAGACAAATATCTGTCCCTTAAGGGTGAGCAAACAGCTAGGCTGGTCAAAGGTACACCAAGTGTTCACTAACAATAAACTACACTGATGCATCTGGCATCAGAGCTGATGGATGAGTTCATGCTACTGCATATTTCAGGGAGCCTAAAGTCAGAAACTTGACACAATGTCACTTGGAAGTGAACTACACTACAGTTACAAAATTTCCCTTGGTTGCTAGAATTTCTCATACAGGTAGAATAGCACTTTCATTTAAAATCAAAGTCTCTAGTTTGGGGCCCTCTCTGGTGGCACAACAGGTTAAAGCACAGCACTATGAAACTAGCCGTAGCCGCTTTAGCACAAGTTTGATCCCCAGCCAGGGAGGTGACCCACATGGCATGGCAGACCTCTCCTGTCCCACCCGCTGCTCCCCTCAGCAGCATACTTCGTCAATCTGCCTATTCTGTTCTCCACTGTGTCTAGTGAATCCTCTCACCGCCCCTGTACCCCAGATCTATATGCATAAATAAATAAATCTTTAAATCTCAAATTTGTGTATGACTATTGAATTAACAAATGCACCTACAACAATAACTTAATTATACCCTTTTCATTAAAGTTTTTACTAGAGAAAAATATGCAAAACTTCAGTTTATTGATTATGCTCTGGCAACAGAATGAGCAACTCCAAAGGCACTAGGTATCCTGTGATGGTGATAATAGCTGCTGCCAGGCAGTCTGGCACTTTAAAAACACATTGTTTCTACTCAGCACAACAACCTGCCGAGTATTATCCCTGTTTTACAGAGAGGAACACAAAGGCTCAGGAAGTTAAGAGATTGGCCAAAGGGGAAACTTTCACCCCACACAACTATCCTCTGACCTAACTGTAAGCTGCCTCGGGCCAGAGGCACTCAAACAAGGGCTGGACAGCCACCTGTCAGGAATGTTAAGGAGACTAAAACTGCACTGAAAGGGTTGGATTAGGTGCCCGTTAAAGTATTTCCAATTCTGAAATCTATGAAGTCAAGTGGAATAGGACAAGTCCTTTCATGCTAAGTGGGTGGTCAGAAAGAAGTCTGACTTAAAGCCGTTACAGATGTGGACAGTGAGCAGGGGACAGTGAGTAGTCCAGTTCATCACTGGGCACAAAACCCAGGGGCCACCGTTCACAGCCAACACAAGAAAGGTGCCCTTTGGCAGCATGCGATGCAATGGGCCTTAGTTATTATTACGAGAACCACTTTGAAACAGCACCCCATTTTTTCCTAAGATGCTTATAAAACATTTCATATACTCTTGATTCATGACTGACAGTTCTGTTTCACAGCTGAAAGTAAAGAGCCAGAAATAAATTGACTTGCCCGGAATAACAGAACCCCATTTCCACTGATACCCAGTCAAAGGCCACTGACCACAGGAATGGATGCGGCTGACCTACACAGTGATCAAAACAGGGATTCTCTGTGATGAAAACTGTCTCTTTAGAATTTCTGAGCTCTGAAATTCCGTTCACTTGGGATACAATCAATCCGTCAATTTTCAGAGTTCTTTCTCCCAGGCATGGAGCCTGTCGAGAATCCCCGAAACACAAACAACAGGGACAGGGGAAGTGCGACCACTCGGGCTTCCTCCCAAGGGCAAATCACCTTTCTCTCATTTCAGTCTGGGAATTTATCAGAATCAGAGGCTCCTGATCCACATGAAGGGAGCCACTGGGTGTCAAAACGCCCGCCCACAGCTCCTACAACATGTTCTGTAGGTAGAGCTCCAAGTCACAATGACCTCACTCGAGCAAACACTTAACTATTCATATTTCTAAAAAATAAATTTTAAAGGGATTTTCATCTTAGGAAATGACATGTTAAAAAAAAAAAAAAAGCCTTTAAATGAATCAAACTTGTCAGGTACCTTTATAATATATGATGTAAACATTTTCCAGGAACACTTTTATTGTATAAAGTGGGGTACACCTGTAATAATAAAGCTGCAATGAACTTTCAGATTATGAGCTAGAATTCTGCAGTGTTTAATACTTTCTGCATAGCACTACTCCCCTCGTTTTCATTTACAATGAGGGATTTCAAGAACTCTGTAGTTGAGACTACACTCTCCACAGTGGAAGTGTTTAACACAAATAAAAACCATGCTAAATGGGGATTACACTTCTTATCACTTCTGAAGTTCCCAACATTTCAAGTCTTAGCTGATGTATACTCCCAACAGATGGGAAGCATAAAACAGAATTCTCCCCATTTTACAGATGAGGAAACTGAGGCCCAGAGAGGGGAAAAGGACTTGCCCAGGGTCACACAGCAAGTTCGTGGTGGAGCCGGGAACTGAATCCATGAGCCCAAGGCTCTGTCCATTTCCTGTGCCGCAGTTCCCTTCGCTCCTAAAATGGGAACAACATTGCCCATCTCGGTACACTAAGGACAGACCCAGTCTCCCAGCCATGCACGCCTGCGTCAGAGCTGTGACAGTGGTTAGGCCACTCTGCACACTGGGACCAAATTCCCCAAACCCACTGGGGCCCTGGACAGTTCTCAAAGAGATGAAAAGGTATCCACGTTTCAAAGGACAGGGAGTGTACTTATGCAATGCTCTTTGTATAGAACCACATGCAAATATAAGTATAATGCTTGTTGGCAACGGACAACTTAGAGGAAGTAAAGAATCAAAATGACTTCCATGAGTTAGAAAGTGAGCAAACAGTCATTTTATAAGTACATACTGCCACAAGGGGAAGAAGAGGCGTCCTATTCCTCCCACGTTTTTGTACAGACCCCTCCCCTTATCCCAACCATGCAAGGTCCAGCAGGCTCTCAGGGTTCAAATATGGCCCAAGAACTCATGGATGGCACACAGGTCACCAGAAAGGTTCTTGGAAAAAATAGAAATGAAAAATGTAGAGACCAAAGAGGAACTGCAGACATAGTCTCAAACGCAGTCTAAAGCCTTATTACAAGCAGGAATTCCATTATGTCACTCAAAAGCAAGTCAATGCTGATGACTCTGGAGGAGAGGTGAGAGGGATCTGCATCCTGGGGGAGGACCACTAAAGCAGCACTACATGCTCCCCTTCCTCTCCCACAACTGAACACCTGACAGGCAGGTGGCTCTGAGGTGGAAGGCTGTCTCAGCACACAGCCTGACTGGGGCAGGACACGAAGGGGCAGGCTGAGGGTGCCCTCAGCCCTACCAACCCCTGGCTCTGCTTCTTACCGGTAGGTCTTGCCATCTTTCTGATGGTCATCATCCTCCTCAGGGGAGAGGACATATGGGTCATTCATCTCAGGCAGCCCTGACTCCAGCATCCGCTTCTTCTTCCGGCCCCTGGGGGGCTTAGGCGCCACACTGCCACCTCCACCACCACCTCCACCTCCTTCCTCCGTTAGGGTTGATGCTACCTTCTTAGAGAGGTCAGGGACCACCTGCAGGGCTTGTGAGCCAGGGGGAAGAGCTGAGACAATCATGGGAGCCGAAATGGGGAAGGTCTGAGCTGATGAGGCTGTGGTCACAAGGGAGCCTGAGGGGGACGTGATTACCAAACCCGGACCTAGGATTGGGAGAAAAAGGAGATGGTGTCATGTTGTCCAGTCCTGATCCTAATCCTATTTCACTTCCCCCAGAACACTGTCAACTGAACCCCTCACCACCACCCCCGGCCCACAATATATAGGAAATCCCAAACCCTGTAGCAAATAATGGTCTCCTAGCCCCTGACCCCTCCCCACCCCCGGTAACAGTGAGATTTACCCCTTGATTGACTCCCTTCTCTTCTCCACCTCTGAGAACAGGAGACTCCTTGATTCAGAGAAGGAAAGAATGTCACCTCCTCAAAGGCAGGGACCGCATCTTCTACTTCTTTGTATCCCCCACAATGCCTAGTGCATTGCTAGGCATACAGTAGGCACTTAATAAAAATTTGAGTAATCAAACACACATCCCGCTCCCCATGTCCTTTGTGCCCTCCAGCCTGGGGTACTGATCACGGGAGATCAAGACCTCAGATTGGAGAAGAGCAGAGTTGCTCACCAGCAGTCATCAGTCCTGTAGACGGCACTGGGACCACCGTGATATTCTGAGTAACGGACGCCTGGCTGTGTGGGGTCAGCTGGTCTGACTTGGACTCTGTGTCCATGCTGATGCCCGAGGGCAGAGACACTGAGGCAGGCACTGTCAACAAGGTAGGGTAGTGGGGTGGAGCCAGCCCACAGCCCTTCTCTGGCAACAGCTGATCCTTCATCTTGTTGATGAACATTGTGTTCTCAATCTGAAAGAAAAGGACAGGGGAAGAGGTGCCCTCTTCAGGGAAAGTCTGATTTGTTTGTTCCTTACGCATTCTGTCTTATCTTTCCTCCTCTTGGAAACCAAGGAACCATCAGTTGACACAGGCACACCCCAGACACACTATGGCCTCAGTTCCAGACCACCGCTACAAAGTATCACAACCAAGTGAAGTCACAAACTTTCTGCCTCCTGGTTACATATGAAAGTTATGCTCACAGTAAGGTGTAGTCTACTAAGTATGCAATGGCTTAGTGCTTGAAAAAGCAAAGTATATACACCTTAATGAAAGTATACTTTGTTGCAAAAAATAACCATCACCCTAACCTTTACCAACTTGTAACTCTTAAGTTTCATAGAAAGCAGTTGTCTCTAGCATGCAACACCCAGCACAGTAAGACAAGGGTGTGCATGGATCTTTGTGCTTTCAGATAGAAGCCAGACTTAATCTTCAGTGATGGGGTACCTGCTGAACCTGCATGTGGTTTATACTGCTTCAGTCTCCACAGTAACACAGACTCCTGGTTATCAGACTGCTCAGAACTGAAGAACAAAGGACTCAATGGAGCAGAAGCAAAAAAAAAAAAAAAAAAAATCAACCAGCATTTACCTGTCCTGAGACTGTGGGAATAGAAGGCCAGAAGTACGGGTTAGAATTGAAGTGAGATTCTTCCATTCTACCTGAAGAGAGAAACAGAAACCATATCACACTCAGGAATAAATCTGAAGCTCAAAAGAAGAGGAGTGGAGGAATTCCTGGTTTCTTCTTTGTAGTGGATCTGTGCCTGGCAATCAGCAGTCACCAGCGCGGAATGGAGTCCTTCTGGTCAGGACCACTGACAGCACGATTTCCCCTCAACGGAGGCCAAGTGCACGTTTGTGAAAGAACTTCTCATTTACCCGCGCATTTACCCTTCTCATTTTCACATGCTTGTGAAAGACTTCTCATTTACCCACAGGCTTTTTCCCACACCCTATAACGGTATATTGACAAAAAGAAAAACTGAAGTCAAGAGAGGGAAAGGATTATGCCCAAGGTCACCAAAGCAAATCACCAACTGGCTTGAAAATAGAGTACCAATCAATCACTGTTCCTCTTTTCTCAGAATATCCCTCAAGCCCATCTTCCTTAAAATGAAAAGCTTCAAGAGTTTCAACTGACACATCTACAGTTCTACGCAGCCTGGAGAGTTCTAGACCAAAACACAAAATGCCTAAGAGTTAAAGAATTAACTGGCAACAATTAGCATCAATGTACTTCTTGAGTGCCAGGCGCTATGAGGGGACCACACCCACCAATCCCACCAAGGTCTAAGGACATGCGTGGCGCAGCACTGGGAGCACATACGTGAGGCTGAGCAGTGTGGACCTATAAGTTCAAAAAAGGGTTCAAGCACCAGAAGTGCAGATGGCCGCCTATAAAGGGATTCAGACTAGGGGCCACAGCGGGCCAAGTATCTACATGATGCTGGACTCCTCTTCAGAGTGTTCAAGTTCTCTGTATGTGGATGATGAAGAATCTTAAAAATTTTAGCAGTGAGGAACAAGGAGAAAATTCCTAGACTCACAAAGCAAATCCCAGACGGGCACAGCGTGCAGGCATCCTACCCTCAGCTTTACACTCTGATCACTCCTAGACAAGTTTACTCAGCAGCATGCTGGTCAAGAATAGCTTCTTCACATTCTGGACCAAGAAAGGTCCAGCAGAATAGGAAGAAGGAGGAAGATGGAGTTTGAAACTGATGGAAGACAGAAGAGTTTGGAAAGCAATAGGTAACAGCATAAACATGCTACTCCGAGCCAAGAGCTACCAAGGTTTAGGTGGGAAGAAAGACCTGACTCTCAGCTCCAAGTCACCAAGGATGCACTTGAGGTAGAATTCATGTACCAAGAGTTGGAGGTGGACTGCAGCACAGAAACTGGGTTCCCACCAGTGAGTACAGAAACTAGGATATCTCTCGACATATCCCTGGTCCTTAACCTTCTCCAGAAAACTGTTCACATTTTTGTTCTACTAAACAACACTCTCAATTATCATAAAACACATAAAGAGAAACAGAATTGAACATCCATCTACTTTTTCCTAAAAAGTCTCAGTGCTGAGAAGCTGTCCACAGCCTCTGCTGCGTGAATCCCGGGGGCCAGAGAGCTGACCCACATGCTGTAGCACATCTCTCCTGTCTCAGCAGTGCATTTCAGTCATCTGCCTGCTCTGCTCCCCACTCTGCCTCTGGTGAATCCTCTCGCCTCCCACACCTCTGGCTTAAACCCCAGCTCTTGTATGTGTAAATAAATAAAAATAAATCTTTTTTTAAAAAGGTAGCAAAGGAAAGGAATGCACCAAATCTGTAATAACTTCACACGAATGAGGCTCAGCATCAAATGACTTGAGGCTCAACCACAGCAACTGCCCCTCTCTTGCTCCCTAAGTTATAAAACTCAGTAAGAAAGCCTCCCATTCAGGTGCTGATCTTTTTCCTTCCTCCCAACACATGCTTCATAAAGAGATCTCAGCTCTTCCTCAGGCAACAGACAGAAATCAAGATTGAGATCACAATATAAGGGGATCTAATCTTGCCAAACATTCTGCGAGACAGGGGTCACATCCCGTACCTCCCTAGTCCCTAATGTTAGACAGGACTCATCCCCCAGTAAGCAATTCCACATGAAATGAACTGAATGACAGCAGACTGGAAACACACAGATTTTGGAAACTGCTGGGGGCTCAAACCTTAACCCACAACTCATCTGACCTTTTAGTGGAAAGGAAGTAGGGAAGTATACTGGAGGGGATGAGAAAGGAAGGTCTAACATATAATTTCCCTCTTAAAAAATCACAGAAATGTACACACTACCGATGTAAAACTTTAGGAGGAACTGAAAGCCTAAAGAAAGTAAGTAACACTGTCCTTAGGCAGTATTTCTATGAACAAGGCTCCTCCCCCACCTCCCAAAAAGATTACATTCATTCATAATTTCCTACCAGTGGCCTAGGTGAAGCAGCTTTGAGAGAACTATCCCTGTACATCGTCCTCCAGGGGCACACAAGGTGACATGGTGGGCACCACCACCACCGCTAACAGCTATTAGGCGCTAGCTGTATTCAAGATACAATTCTAAGCACTTAACTATCACATTATTTAATCCCTACAGTTCAATGAATTAGATACTGAAATTCCTATTTTTAAGGTAAGGAAATAGGAGGCACACAGTCAAACAGTAACTAACAGAAAGGGATGTGACTGGCTCTTGGAATCAAAGAGCAGGTCAGCAAAAGGGGTGCGATGAAGAGATCAAAGTATCAAGTGTGTATCACACAAGTGATGTAATACTCGCTGGATGCTGCGGCTTGTTTCATGAATTATAATTTAAGAGTGCTTCCAGGGTGAATGATACATTTTTCAGACAGCTCTCAGTAAATGAAATTTTTGGTAACAGTGAAAGGCAGTTATGTGATAGTCTTTGTCTACATCCTTGGCCACCAAGATAACTGATGTCAGAATGATGGAGTCTGGAAAAAAAACCATCATGACTATCCAGAGAAGGTAGACTGAATAAAGGCCACCCCACATCCTGGGCACCCAGTCTATCATTGTTTGGGTTCTTCTGATAACAAAGCTGAAGATCAGAAGCAGTTGTTCCAAAAACAGAACACTTGTGGGCTTTACCATACATGTCAATGCCAAAGACGGGGGTGGAGGTGGGGAGGGGGTACTTGGAGCACAATGCTCACCCAAACTAAAAGTAATAGTTGCCTGCAAAACAACACCCAAGAAATGCTACTCCAGTCATTCTGCTAAGTCAGTTCTGATAAAAATGACTAAAATCTCTGCATCATGGAAACGAGAGCAAATGAGGAGTCCAGAGCAAATGCTACTGCCAGAGTACAACGTAAATGATGCCTGCCCAGCCCAGTTGTGAACCAGGGTATTCTGGGTGCCAGATCACTCAACACCTGTCTACTGTCCATTTTTCCACTTCACCACTTATCTCACTTTCATCACAGAGCAAAACACTCACCAACCCCCCCAATATCCAAGCTGGAACATAACACTCTAAAACCCAAAGACGCTCACAGATACCAGAGTGGAAGCTCAATGTTGCAGAGCACAGGTTTTGATAATCATGCTGGTACACTAACTTAAAAAAAAAAAAGAGGCCCTATCGACCCTAGATTGGGAAGGAAGGAGGATCTATTTTGTCCCAAAAAGCAGGAAAGAGGGAAAAACGTAATAGCGGAAAGAAGAATCTTGGCAGACTGGTACCCTGGGTTCTAATTTTAACTTTACCGATGCACCCTGCCTCAACTGTTCTATTAATAAGAGAGATCTACTATAATTAAGCTGGACAACACATTTCTTTCAAGAGGCTCAAAAAATACATATTCCTTTTCCAATCTCAAAAGAAATCTCAGAAGCACCAGGAGATGAAGGAAAAAATACAATATTAAGTTACATCCATGAAACACACAGTAGGACTTTAACTTGTGTGTCTGAACTCTGTGTCTATCCTTCCACAGTGCGCAGACAGAAAGATGCCACAACTTCCAGCACATGGCTTTGGCAAACATGACAAAGACTACCACCTCTTTTCCAATATAAGTACATTACTTTATTGTTTTTCAAATAAAGCATAATTTTCTTTTTTCAAGAAAAGAGCTCTCTCAACCAACCTTTAAAAATTATGAAATACTTGCACCAAGTTTAGTAGCTGGAGAATGGACATGGAATCAAGACTTCTGAAATCTAATTCTAGATCACATGTCAATGGATGACTGAATAATTTATTGCTCTACTAAGTTCCAAACTGGGTAGATGATGGAGAGTAAACCCCTTCAAACAGACATGGTGTGTGAAGACATGGAAGAGATGGTGACAGAATGGAACAGCACAGAACTGAGGAAGAGAAAGTTCAGGTGCTCCTAAGATGAAATAGTTCCATGTGATGAAGACCATAAGCAGCTGTTAATAACTATGTAAAGACCACATCATCACAAAGGAGCCACCCTAAATATCAGATCTATAGCCCCCAGTTTAGTAATCAACTAGAAGCACTAACAAGAAACAGAGCTGCAAAGAGCAATCGAAGCTTCAACTACAGAAAGAACTTGAACCCATAGATCTGACATTCCTATTGAGAATAACTGTTCCAAAATGCTCAATTCCACAAATGTTGCAATATCAGTTAAAGACTTGAAGTGAAGAAATACAGAGAACTTTTTTTTCTCTGAAAGGAGACAAAATCTTTTTCTCAGGTTCTAAGGACATGCAAGAAGGGCCCCTGCAATAGGATGTAAAGTCTTCCCACTATTGGTTAACTCTGCCAAGTGCAAAACTCAGAGAGGATTTATTCCAGTTCCACTGGGAAAGACTATCACTCCATCCCCAAACAGACCAGTAGGCCCACTACCACCACACAGCTGGCAGCCCGGGCCAGCAACATCTGCTCTGGACACTACTGGACCACTGGACCCTGTGGAAAGAGAAACAGAGTAGTTCCCCTTGTCCTGTCCACTCCACCATGAATGATGGATCCAGGCAATCATGAGGGGAGGAAAAAAGGGGGAGGATATGCACCTAATACTTAAACATCACATGACTCAGAAACCTGTGGGGAAGGCATTCCATGAATCAGCCTGTAACTGCTTCTAAGAAAGACCTCTAGGATTATAAACTATGAACTCACACTCTTTTGGGTAATTTCAGGCTACTTAAAAGCGTACCCCCACCAAGTTCTATAGCTTGGATTTTTCCAGACATCCTTCTGGAGTCTACTTCATGTCGTTTTAGCCACTTTAATCCAAGCTGCCCACGAACCAAGTTTTTCCTGAAAACTTCACCTTGCCAGTCAAATGCAAATAATAATAATCTGTGTCACAGATTCTAATCACTCAACAGATCCAGTGCAAACACCCCACTGCAACATTAAGGATATACACCCCGCTCTCACCTCAACTCTGCTTGCTCCAAATTCAGGAAAGCAATTCCATAAACTATGCCACAGGACTTTACTGGCAGCTAGGGCCCATCTGTCCCCAAAGCAGAATAAATTTCTCCTTTGGATAGGTGCAACACTATTTAATGATTTCACATTTCATTCCTGGTGAGGGCTGGTGGGAATGGAAGGTTGATGGGATACAGCGCCAACTTCTTACACAGAAACTTCCTGGATACCCTCAAGAGATAATAGAAAAGGCTGATTTTTCTTCCACAACAAGCACCAGTATTATAATAACTCTTACTTGAAAAGTTCTGTCCCACTGTCCAAAAAAAAAAAAAAAAAACCCATTTGATTATGACCCACTCTCCCCCCAAATCAGAAAAGCCATTAACCCAAAATTGTCTTACCCTCTCTCTCTCTTCCTCCTGTCGTCTTATTCCTTCTCCTTTCCAGGGCTCCTGAACTTTCTGTAAACAAATTGTCTGGGTTACAGGGGCCGCTGCGGGTGCAGCCACCAGAAGACTGGGAGGAACCTCGGAACTGTCTGACTGACAGCAGTTAGTCTGGAAGGCAGGCAGACCCCCAAGCAACAATCCAAAGACGCAGGGATTATTAACAACTGGAGTGCAGTGCCACCCCTATGTGGACACAGGGCAATAAATCCAATTCCCAGCAACTAAGATGAACTCTATCACCAGTGTCGGGGTTTCACTCCTGAGCTCAGACACTACTTCTTGGTTCCCCAGGGTCACGGGGAAGCACAGTTCAAAGGACAGAAGAGTTGGAGGAAGACAAGTGTCCCTGGCCCCTGAGGATGGGCTCAGAGGCAAAGCTGAGGACTGGGGGGTATGCACAAGCCTTGTGTCAGGCACAGTGCCAGTTCAGGCCCAGCCACTTCCTCTGGCTTCCCCCCCACACACCCCCACTTCTGCGAGGACTTCGCTCCTGCCTACCCAAGGCCTTGCGCCAAGAAGTACCTCCCTCAGCCTGCACAGTGTTCTATCTATTGGAGACCCCAGTAGTCCCCACAAAACCTTCGCTCCCCTGAGACTGCCCCTGGAAGCCTTCTCCTGAGGTCGTCCCCCACCCCTTCCTCAAAGACCCTTCCTTGGGACGTCCCTCCTTCCCCTCCTGGGAGCTGAACTCTGCCACCCACCAGACAGACACCCGCCCCCTAAGCCCCCCCATTCCTCCCCATCGCCCGCTCCTCCACAACCACTTCCGGTTCCGGGACGGACACACTTACAGTCACATCGTGGACCCCCCCTTCCCCGCCCCCCCAAGGAAAAGGGGAGGGGGAGGAGCAGAGAGCTTGGCGCGCGCTGGCTGCAGCGGCGCGAGACTCACCCGGCGGCGACGGCTGCGGCGGCGCCAGCGCCGGAGTGCGGGAGGGGCGGCGTTTGCTGGGAAAGGAGGGAGCCGGGCGGGTGGGAGGATCAGGAGGGGGCGAGGGGAGGGGGAAGAGCGCGAGGCGGAGCGCGCGGGCACGCACTTTAGGCGCGAGACAGACCCACACACTCACACGCACGGAATGCGCGCGAGACACCCGCAGGGCGGGGGCGCGAGGCGGTGGGTGGCCCCCTCCCTCCCTCCCTCCCCTAACACTCACCCGGAAGTGGTGCTGCAGCTCGTGCTCTCTAGAACCCCAATTCCTCCACGCCCCCTCCCTCCCTCCCTCCCTCCCCCCACTGGCTCGGAGTCGGGCGGCCGTGGAGAGAAGGCGGGAGCACCGGAAACGAAAAGGGGGGGAGGGAGGGAAATAGCAACGTAGGGGGGGCGGTAATGGGGAAGGGGGGGGGAAATGCAAAGGTCGAGTCACTTCCGGGAGCGGCTAGGGCACATCCGTCGTCTTTAGCGCTCCAGGATACCCAGGGCGGAAGTTACGACAAGTAGGGGCGGAAGTAGCTTCTGCCCCAGGATGCAGTAGACAAGACGTCACAGCGGAAGTGAAGGTGGGTTAAGCTAAGGGCAGAAGCTGAACCTTTCGAACTTCGGTCCCGGGCTTCCGGAAGGGACTTGTGATGGGGGGAGTGGGGAGATAGGTGGAGGGGTTGTGTGGAGAGACGCGACAGGTTCATGAATTATGCATCAAGGAACGAGAGGGACGAGTGGATTCCTAAAATACTGGCCCCGGTCCCTTTTCCTCTCCTCTAGGTGCGAAAGACCAATATAGGAAGTTACTATTATTTTTCCTTACGTTCGCAAGAATGTTTCGATTTGAATATGCTTAAAGGTTACGTGCGTGGGTACTTTTCTGAGCTCTGTACTTAAGCCAAAAAAGTTATTAATAATCTTAGCAACCATCAAAATCGTACTCATTTCTTCCCTGACCTTATGCTCAACACCCCTTACTCTCTTCGCTTTATGTTCTTTAAGTTCATCTTGCTCTCTGTCACATCTCTCTCCTCACCCTGCTTTGTCTTTAAATATAGCACTCATCACTACCTGATAAAATGCTGTCTACCTCTCCCCACTAGAATATGGTCTTGGAATAGAATATCCGCCCACGAGGGCAAGTACTTTAGCTAAGCACTTAGTAACTGGTCAGTAAAGGTGTGTTGTATAAACAAGCAATATAATATCTTTTCAGGAAGCCTTCCTTGATTGCTCCAAGGCTTAAGGGCCCCTTTCTCTGAATTCCCATAGCAGTCTCTATCTTTTGTGGCCTCTTTTTCCCCTTTTCTTTTTTAACTATTTTGTATGTGGGATTCCTCTGCAAGATCATTAACTCCTCTCAACCCAAATGCCCCAAAATTGATGACTGTATCAGGAAGACGTGGTACATACAGACACACTGGAATATTACTTAGCAATCAAAAAGATGAATTCATGCTATTTGCGGTGACATGGATGGAGCTGGACAAGATCAAGCTTAGTGAAATATATTAGAAAAAAAAAAAAAGAAAAATACCGGATGGTTTTACACATAGCAGGAGTGTAGAAGTTCAAGGAGGAAAAATAACATATGTGTATATATATAAATACATACACATATATATAGTAATTGTAACAAAATAAAAGTAAACTAACAACTATAAACCAGAGACATTCTACAGGGAAAGGGAGGGGAACAGGATCAAAATTGGTGCGGAAAAAAGAACATGGGACTATGGTGATGGCACACGGGTGATTGGTGTTGGGAAGTCCATGGGGATTACAACTGATGATGTAAAAAAGTATTAAAAAAAAGATCATCAACTCCTCAATGAAGAAACTGTCTCATACATAATATCCTTCCCAGGACTTTGCTGAGCACGTATTAGATGCTGAATAAATGTCCAACATTTGAGTAAATGAGTGCAGCCACCAGGCTGCACCTGGATCTGACAGAATTCCTCTATTGTGACTGAAGTAGAAGTCCCACCTATTAGCATTGAAGCTCCTTGCTTTGTGAGTAAAATAACAGTCATAGGCATTTTACAGACCATGAAAATATGATCCTGAAGGTTTAGTGGGATTTTCCCCAAGTTGTAGCAAGAAGCAAAGAACTCCTAAAAACAGTATGTTTAAAAAACATATATATACGTGTGTGTGTGTGTATATATGTATATGTATGTATGTATACCTTTGACCTGTAATTGTAGTTTGTATCTTTTCAAAACTGTCCAAAATGTCTTGATCATTTTGGGACATTGCACTGGGTCAATGTTGAGTGAGTAGCAATGTTTGGCAGAATTAGGGTCTTAAGGATTCAGATGTGACCGGACTTAGTCACAGGTTAGGGATTGCCGATTAGAGAAACCTAGACTTTGGGCACTAAGATAGAAAAAATGGGAGCAAAATAGTAAGCATTGTAAGTGCTGGTTTGCCTCCTGTTCTTTTACATTCATTGGCCTTCCCTGGGCCTCAGTGTCTTCACTTGTCGGTCCTGCTCCAACCCTTGGTAGGAGAAGCACGTTTTAAGCGCTTTGACCTCCTTAGAGAAAAGCTTTAAAGAGATTAATGTGGGGTGTTGGGGGAGGAGGGCTGTTAATTTTAGCCTGGGGTTTTCCAGCTGGCATACTGTTCCCAGCTTGAATCACTTCCACACCCTGCACACTGCCTGGGAGATCCCTCCTCCTGGGGGCTTCCCCATTCCCTGGTTTGGTCTGAGCCACAATGGGAAACATTCAAGAAAAATGCTCAAAAGAAGCCACTGAATCATGTGATACACATTTAGAAGGCAATAAAGCATGATGGGAGATGTGATGCTGGGCCCTATTTTGCCTCTGATGTGAGACCGCCAAGAACCGAAGGTGATATGGCCATCACTATGTTCTGAGTCTGTTCTGAGCAGTGACTCTGCTCCACCTCTTGCAATGAGAAGACCTCCAAGGCCCCATAGTCTGGAGTTGCCAGGAGAGAGAAGGGTTTGGATCTGTTCCTGGCCCCTCAAGATTCAGCATGGTTATTGTGACGAGTGGTTTCATTTGGGGCAGTTCCTTTAGGACAACTCAGGAGACTAGGCCATCTTTCTTCTCTCTCCTTTTCAAGTCATTTGACATTCCATGGAGAAAGGAGGGCACTTAGGAAGAAGGCACAGGTGAGGGTTTCCAGTGTCTCGCTGGTGTACTTTAATTTATTTAAATGTAGAGAAACAGCAATCTAATCAGGGAATAATTAATTCCCTCTTCATTAGGGGCCTTCATGTGTGCCTTTTGCATATGGATGAGCCACGAGGTCACAGTGTCCCTCTGAAGAGAGAGAGTTGTGGAAGGTGATGGTGCCTGTGGCTTTCCCTTCAGAGCCAGGCTGCTCTTCCCCCACCCTCTCCTGTGGGGAGAGCAGGGAGCACTTAATGAGGTTTCTTCCTCCATTCTCTTGGGACCCCTCCCTCACTGTCCCCACCCAACCCCTCAGCCCCTCTTCCTGCATCCCTAAGTTCCCTCCATCCCTCTCCCTTGCAGGAGCTACAGCCCAGATCTCTCCTTCAGATGGGGTAGGAGGGGGAGGCTCCCTTGAGTTGACTCTGGGCCCCCTTCTGCAGCTTGTTTGCCTTGCACCTGTGCTCTTAGGTGACTCCACACTTCAGGCTCTGCTCTGCTGCTGCACCCTTGGCAGCAGTCTGTCTCAGGGAGTCTGACGCCCTGGGTGTTTAAGTCTCTGTGGTCCTGAGAAGCACACTCCCTCCTCCCCCTTCACCCTCTCACTGTTGGTGATGCCTGGACACAGCCACACTTCCCTGAGTATTCGGTGAAAGCTCCCCAGCACCTAAAACACATACCTACCAGCACTTACGCATCTTCCTCAGACTGCAAGGATCAACACAAGGAGGCAGACACAGCGTGGGGCATCCCGACTGTCCTTGAGCACACTGCAGTCCCCTCTCCTACCTGGAGCTACCCCATTTCCCGGGAGCAAGTGGGGCACGTTGGGGTGGGGGTGGGGAATGGGACCTAGGTGGTTACCATGACAACAGAGCCTAGCAACTGCGAAGAGGCCGACGTGTGGGCTTTTGCGGGCGGTAACAAGAGTCAAACCTGGAATGGGGGCTCAGAGGTGACTGATCCCAGCTGGGCAGTCTGTGTTTCCACCCCCAGACACACCCATTCTGCCTCCACATCCCAGAGAGGGCAGAGAGTGGGGGAAGCTAATGAGAGTTAACCACAGGGCAGCTAATGCTGCACAGCCTTTGGGGGGCAGCTGTGGGTGGGGACAGGATAGAGAGCAAGGCCCAAAATAGCCCAAGCAGGGCCGCTCCCTCTCATCTATCTCCCTCTCATCTATCGCTTGTTTCATCCTTTACCCTGTCTCATCAGCTTTCTACTTTTTCTTGCATCCTCCACTGTCCGTCTTTCCACGTCATTTCCTCTTTTGTTTTCCTTTCTCATGGTCTTGACCTTCCCCAGCAAGTAGTAAGCAAGACCCTCTTCACTCCTCCCGTGCTCCAGTTGCACCTTCTCAGGGCTGCCCCTTGGGCTCACCTGCCTTCTTCCTCCTTCCATCCACCCCAGTCAAAGCCCCAATGTCAGCTCCCCAACATATAGTCCTTCGGGGCAGGCCAGGCCACATCCCATCTGGAAGAGGGGGTTACTGTCCCCTGCTCCTCCTCCTTTTCCTCCCTCTTGGCTTCCCATCGCCTTGTCTCCTCTCTCCTCTCTGCAGGGTCATAAGGCAGGACCAGGGGACTCGGGTATCTTGCAAAGGCTTTATTTGAAAATTTTGAAACTTACATCCCACAAGAATTCAAGATTATCACCACAAGAAGAAGAGATAATACAAAAATATATATCACAGCATAGGAGCCAGGTAAGAGAGGAAAAAGGAAGGAAGGAGGTGGGGGACAACAAAGGAGGGGTGTGAGGGAGGTTGGGGTGGGTAAGGGGGGTTGGGAGGCAGAGCTCCCGATGGCCTTGAGCCAGCTGGGGCCAGTCCCTGGCAGCCTAGGCGGAGTTAGGGGAGCCCTAGGGAGGCTGGGAAGTGGAGGACTGGCTCAGGGCTCTGAATTCCAGAGAGTGACGCACACAGACAGCCAGGACAGACAAGACAGAGGGATTTAGGAGGGAAGGGCGAATGGGAGCCCCTTCCTCATGTAGTGCAGCCCTCAGGGTAATGCCAGGCCCTGGGAGCGGGGTGGGGAGGTCATGAGACACGTGATATGGAATAGGATGGGACTGTGACAGATGGGGGCACAAGGCACCCCCAGCTCACCTCCCATCCACGTCTGGGACAGCATGCAGGGGCCACAGAAAGTGGATCAGTAGGTGTTCGTGAGGAAAGTGTGAGCACGACACGCAACACCACAACATGGGCTGAGGAAATGCACGGGAGAGTTGAATGGTCGAGTCACCCACTGACCACGGCATGACCGAGCTGAGTATGGGATGTGGGGAGCAGAGCGAAAACTGAAACAGAAGGGAGACTGTGAGAGACCCGCGGAGGGGACAGATGTGGCTGGGGGAGGGCGCAGAAGACCGAACAAGAGCATGAGTGTGCGCAATGGCCCGTGAGTGTGCAAGGCTTTCATGTGAGTGTGCAAGGGTGGAGACGGGATACCAGACACCACCAGTATGGAAGGCCCCACCTAAAGAAGGGTGAGCAGCTAGGGTCGCCTAGGGGGCCGGTGATGGTCCAGCAAGGGTGCGGGGCAGGAGCCAGGAGGACCTGCGGCCCCAGCTCCCACGGCAGCCCCACCCTCAGTGGGATGGGGGCTATGCCGGCCCCTTGGCCTCCTGCTTGGCGGCACCCCAACACTGGGGGGGCATCACAGATTCACCAGGGGAATCCTGAGAGGAAGAGGGAAAGGGCACAGTCAGGAACCAAGGGGTAGGCCGACAGCAAAAGGGGAGTCCAAGACAGAGAGAGGGGGTCCAGGTGAGAGGCAGAGTGGGGAGTCAAATCGCAGGACCAGGATGTCATAGATCCGCAGAGCAGCGGAGGAGGGGTTCCCTCCAGAGAAGTGGGCCCAGTCCCCTTGGGAGGCCCAGGCCTCCGCCTCCTCCCCACCCCCACCCCCACCACTGCGCCAGAGCCCTAAGTCTGCGCCCACCCTGCCCTCCCTCCCCTGACCCTTTACCCTGCCCTCACCGGTTCAACTGGAAGGCTGGAGCCCCCTTGGGCTGGGGCATCCCAGGCCGGGGTCCCCCTCGGGGCTCCTCATGGTCAGGGGTGGGGGTGGGCGAGTCCCCGAAGGCCCCCAGCACAGTGACCCCAGCAGGGGACAGGTCTGTCAGAGGCTGCTGGCTCTCCTCCTGCCTCAGGACACCTTGCTGTCCCGAGGGCCTGCGCCGCTTCTGGCTGCGATCCCAGCTGGTGCCAGAAGGAAAGAGGTTCTCTCACATTTAGGCGGCCCCCAGGGAGAAGGGGGCCCTGCAGCTGGTCACCCCCATCCTCCCTCAGGTATGCCCAACACCCTACAGCAGAATTCCCTACTCCCAATCCTGAGACCATGTGTCCAGAAAGTCACTTCTACCCCCAGGGGGCTGGAGGTCTAAACCATCCTCCCACCCCACCTGGGTCCACAGAACTAGTACCTTCTCTGGGCCCCCGCCAGCCCCCCCTCCTTCCCTCTCCCCCCCCCCAAACCCAGAAGAGCCATTTCTCTCCTCAGCAGGCACCTGGCAGGTTTAGTTCTAGCCAAAGTCAGCTAATGACCTGGACACCTCAGTCTAATGATTCTCTCAGTAAAGTGTGAAGGACTGAGTGACCCAGTCCTCACACATTATTAAATGTGCTCAAAGAAAGCTCCAGATTTCCTCCCTCCTTCCCGGGTAGCCCTAAGAAGGGGGTCTGCACACTGAATCAGTTTCTCCCTCTTGTCAGAAAGGGGGAGAAGGGAAGTCTACCCAAGCCCCAGCGCGTGCAGAGACTCTCCTACCTCTCCCAATATCCCTCTGCTCACTTGGGGAAAGCAGCCGCCCTGCCCTGATATCTCTGCCCTGATATCTCCCTGCTTCACCACCCCCCTCCTTATCCCCTTAGGAAGGCCCCACCCCCAGTGAGATTGCCCTCACTCCCTCCTTCCAGCCAACGTTAGTCCCTGCCTGCCAGCACCCTCCTCCCTAGCTTACCAGAACTTGAAGATGATGCCAGTGGCCACCAGGACAATGATGATGGAGATGGTAATTGTGACATAGAGCTGAGGGTCCACGCCTGATTAGGGTGGAGAGAAAGTTTTAGGGAGATAGGAAGTAGCAGGAACCAAGAGGGAGAGGAGGTAGGTGGCCAAGGCCGTGGCGTCTGTAAACATGAGCAGTGTTGCTATTTCGGTCCTCAGTGCCTGGCTCCTCTGTGGCTCTGGTGCCCCCCACGCCCCCCCATTCCTGACAGCTTTCCTAGGGGGAGGATGTTTTAGCATTTTCCTTCCAAGTCTTTTCCCTCTACTTTTTCAAATCTTCTGTATAGCTGTGATGAGGGCGAGTCTCCAAGATCAGAGAGAACCCCCTCTCTGCACAGAAAGGAGAGGGTGGGAATGTCCACCGCTGTCCTGGCCCCACCTCCAGGCCACTGGCCCCATTTGGGCCTTCCCCAAGCCAAGCCCAGATGTCCTGCTGGAGGCCCCTGTCATCCATGGTGCTCCTCTGCCTGCAACACAGCCACTCTGTCTTCAAGGTCCAGCTTAAATGTCAGTTCTTGGAAGGTATCCTGATCCCCAGGCAGAAGTAGTCTCTCGCTCCCCTCTTTTCCTAAAAACATGCTGTGTGTGCCTTTACTAGTGCGTTTGTGACATTGACTCATCCCTGAGTGTGGTCCCGAACTCCTGCTGGGTTCAGCTCCATCTCTGGGCCCACCCCAGCAGAGTACCCGACAGAGTTGTGGAGGGACAAACAGACAAGGCCTCTGTGGCAGCCCTTAGCGTTTCCCACCAGCCCACACCCCCAGTTCCACTCACCTTCCCCACGGCCCCCAAACAGGAATGGCCGCAGGGTAGCCGGTGCTTCTCCAAGGATGAGGCCATCTCCATCACCCCGCATGGAGTCTGAGTTGGGGTGTGGGGTAGCCAGCCCGTGGGGGGCTGCAAAACCATAGTCATGGGGCAGAAATCCAGGATTGGCAGAGTTGGGGTCTCCCCCATCCTCTCGAGACACTGTAGGGCCCCAGACAATAGCCCAGGGGTACTGGGATGAGGGTGGTCCCTCCTCAAAGCCTGATGGGGTGGCAGGGGGTGCAGTGCCCGGCAGGACTTGCCGACGTGATCTTGGCACCCGAGGGGATCGGCTTGGTGGGGGCGCCCGCTCCCATACACACACATGGCGTGGGGCTGAGGGGCCACCCCGGGCACATGGGGGGCGGGCTGGGGCTGGTGGGGTTCGTGGGGAGGAGGAAGAGCCATGAGCAGGCAGTGTGAGGGGCAGCAACAGCAGTGGCCAGAGAGGGAGGAGGTGGGACATCGGCAGTGCAGGCCTGCAAGAAGGGAGAGAAAGTGAGTGAGGACCCAGCAGTCTCAGGCTCGAGCAGAGGCGTCCTCCCTCCAGGGGTCCCTGCAAAAGTGCATGGGACTTGGGAAGGCTCTGCTCTCATTTCCTCTCTGCCTAGGGCCTAGTCTCAGGATGGAAGGCCCTGGTGGATCTAGGAAGGAAAGGGCCAGGACCCCAGGGAGGGCCTCCAAGCTCCCAAGCTCCGAGCTCCCAAGTGCCGCACTTACCACATCCTGGACTCCATGTCCGAGATCTTCCTCAGCTGTGCCCCAGATTTTCAGCCCTTACTGAGGGAGAAAGGGGGTCGTCACATCCCACCCTGGCCCCGTACCTCCCCAGCTGATTCATCTACTAGCTCTACCCCCTCCGTGTCCCCGCCCAGGCTGTTGGCTGCCAGCTTTGCCGCTGTCACCCAGCATCCACTGCTTCTTAACATCCACTGGGGGAAGAAAATTCCCAGAGTGGTTTCCATCCAGCCCCCAGCCCCTCTGCACAACCTACCCAGCCCTGTTACCTCCCCACCCGGGGTCTACTCTCACTTCTCTGGCTTCCTTCCTTCTCACTTCCTCTACCCACAGCTCCAAGCTTTTCTTGGATCTTAATTTAGAGTCAAGAACCTTGTGATTCCTTGAGCACCTACAGCGAGGGAGGGAGTCTGGGAGTGGGGGAGGGAGGGAAAAGGAAGTCAATCAGAAAGAGAGAGGGAGAAAGAGAGAGAGAGGGAGGGAAGGAGAGAAAGGTGTGTGCAAGCACAGGGAAGCATCCCAGCCTGCCCACCCCACGTGGAGTCCAAGGAATTTGTTTTATGATTAGGCCCAGGAATCTGTAACTTCAAAAAGGGAAAGGAGATGGAGACAGAAAGAAAAAGAGGGAAGGTTATTGGTGGGAGCGAAACTACAGAACATAATTTTTGCTCAGTGTTTAATCATCCAAATGCCTAGGTGCCCTCTGAAGGGAGGTGGAGCTGGGGAGAGGCCACCCCCACAAATCTAGCTCTCCTGGGTAAAGACTCCTGAGAGAATCTGCATGGTTGGTTTTAAAAGAAGGCCATGTTCTCAGAAATGAGGGGTGGGGAGTGGGGCAGGCTGCACAGAGTGAATGAGATGGACAAGGCATCCTCTGGGTTCTGGCCCTGAACGTGTACATCCTCTTAGAAAATAACAGGGATTTGATGGGAAAGGCCTGGGGAAGTGGGCAGTGGGGAGAGAAGTGAATGGAGGCTGAGAGGGAAGGCGGGTTAGGCATGAGAAGGGACCAGAAGGGTGAGGAGGCATCCTGAGAGAGAAGGACTGGGAGGAGGTACCAAGATGGGAAGCTTGGAAGATGTTCCAGGAGAACAGGCTGGGGGCCATGGTCAGGGAGGGGAAACGGTGCAGGGGGTCAGGGAGCTGGGAAGGAAGGGGCAGGGCTGGGGGAAGGTCCCGTCTGCGACGCGGAGAGAGGGGACTGGGAAAGGAGGAAAGGGTGGAGATGGGGAGCGAAAGAACATGGGAATGAGAAGATCTTAATAGTGAGGACAAAATGCAGAGGAAGGGACTGCCCTCCACCCCAAGCAGGAAAACAGCAAAGATGGAGGAGTTGGAGACTGTTTCTTCAAAATTTACGGGATCTAAAGCTAAGGAAACGGAGGAGGGCCAGGAAAAGACCCAAGCTAGGGCGAAGGCGTGTGAGAGCGAACCAGTGAAGCGGACAGGGGCTCGCAGGAGCGTCCGCGGCCACTTGGCTCCGGGACTCACTTGCCTCTGCACCCAGCTCACCCCCAACCACCATCAACTCCAGTTCCGGATCCCGCACCCCTTTGAGTCACCCCCTCCAGGAAGCCCGCAGTCCCCAGGCTGGCGCGCCACCCCCACCTCTCCACGCTCCTCACCGACCTGTTGTGCGCCCGAGATGCGCTGGGGGTGGGGCGGGAGCCGGGGACTGGGGCTGGGGGGCGCCGGCCATCCCGGGCTCAGCCCCATCCCACCCCTCCCACGGGCTACGGCTCGGCCGGCAGAATGGGAAAGCGGCGAGGGGAGGGGGGGGCGAGAACCCGGGGTCGGCGAAGAGGCTCGGGGGAAGGATCGCCGGGAGCTGCCGGCGACCCCAAGGCGCGAGGATGCGCGCAGCCCCCGGCAGAGCCGGAGCGGGATGGAGGCAGCGTGGAGACGGTGACCGCTGCGCCAGGAGGGCAGGATGGAGTCGGGACCGGCGCAGGGTGGGG